CCTTATTAATGGCTTTGTAGCACAATTTGCTACCAGTGGGAGTCATATCCGCCTATTCGATACTAGGAAAACGATTATTTCCATAGGCAGAGCTCCGTCCGGCTGTGTTGAGAACGCATGCAACAACGCAATATTACGCGATAATTACTGGCCTTATTGTTGTGCAAAGAGTGTTTTAACTGTAAGATAATTTTCTCATTAATTGAAACAAAGATCTGAGCATGAAGTGACAACTATAAATCGCACTGGATCATGATGAAGCATTTAAACATCGGCAACAAGCAAAACAGTTGAAAAAAGGTCAGAGATATAGCAATTTGGCCACTACGTGTGTATGTATATTATAAAACACGGACGTCTATAATTTTCAACACATTCCTTTGTTTATCAAGAAAATGTCGCACGAAATTAATAGAGCTTTTCGACTTCTTTATTAGGGTACTTTTTGTACACAAAATTGCCTCCAGTGGAAGTTGTGCTGGGCCTGTTTCTTCCTAAACACGAGCTGTACGATCGGGAGCGCCACATTAAATTTGGCGGGCATTTAGGAGGTTTTGGCGCGGATATGTTCGAAGCAGAAATAAATAAATCGAACACTGTGCTTACCTTCAAGGAGTCTTACGATTAATCAAGTCATTATACAAACCAGAATTAATGTGTCGCAAGGTAAACCTACTGATCTAAGGCTGAATTGGCCTCGCATTTGAACCAATGTGAAGAAGGAAGGCTGGCCATCTCCGGTTTTCAGAAGAGAAGCTTGAATTCTCCTAACCTGTCCGATCTGTTTAAATGTTCTTGAAATACCAATCGCTTCTAAGGGAAGCGATTTTGATCGCGAATCAACACAGAAATTCTCGACCAGGAAACGGCAAAAAGTAACCCACATATACTCCATACAAGGTGGCTTGATCGGGCTGATCCGATCCGGAGAATAGTTGAAAAGACCGCGCTCGACTTTATTTACATGTATTTACCCCACCTTGTATTGTTTTAACCATATTAACAGACAGTTGCGAAATTTAGAATTGTTTCATCGCCTCTGTGAAGATCACTACCGATGACAGCTAATCTGACCCCTGCTAACATGCACGAGGTCGGAGGTAAAATTCTAACAGGAAATTGAGTATAGCAACCGTCACTCAAGATAATTAGAAAAGGGACTTTACGCGGCTCCTCATGTTCTAGTATAGCACATATCGAATAATATATATAAAATCCACCACGATTACATGCTCCACAGAGCTCAGGATTAATTCACGCTATGTACCCAGAAGATAACGATTTGTTAAAACTGAGACTTTCGATTCACGATAGTTTTCAGTTTGCGAACTGTACAAGGGGTTAAATTGAAGAACGGCTGTCTCAAAACAGTTCGGCCCAGCGAAAACTTAGCGATTAAAACTGAAAAATGTGCCGGGAGAGTGAGGTCAAAAAGGAAGTCAGTCACATATACTTAGCACCTCGGAATTTGGTAACTTCAGTCAGTGTTAACAAGAAACTTATAATTTAAGCATCCATCCAGAGTACTTGTGTTTAGCTATTACAAACCTGCGAACAACAGGAGATGCAAAGAGTGGTCAATTTTTAATATGACACGAGAACGTTAGCCTTTGTACAGACGCCGTGCACAATCCTTGTTATTATCCCGATCTCTCGCTTTTTGGAGGCAATTTGGACTTTAAAACCAAAGTCTTTAGATAGCACTTTATGTGACGAAGTGAATGCCCCCATATGTAACTATTCAGTCCTAATCTCGACACCATGCATTTTGAAGTAAGGTCTGCCGTTTGAAATTTGAGATTTTACACATTCCTCGATACTTACCTTTGTTCAAATGGTAGTCAGGGTGGTTATACGATTCTGAATTCCGCTCTAACTGATGAAATATCGATTCTACCAGCCATCTACGTTGTCAATATTTTGTAGCGAAGTGCTTCGTACGGTCGTGTTGTCACGTGATTCAATGGCAAGCGGCCTCAGCCAGCAAAGCATTTCTGCCAGAGTCCAATCTCGTACCCAGAGTCTTTTGACTTTTTAGTCGGCACGAGTTGGCCGGAGTCCGTCTCAGCGGGGGAGGAGGTGGTGGTGGGGGGAGGGGGGGGGGTCGTCTCGTTTCTTGGTCACGAACCAAAATTTTGCGTTTCACGAATAACGAAACAACAATTTAGGCTGTCACGGTTCTCGAAAATAGCAGTTTTGCAAAAAGTTACAAAAATTACGAAACGGCCACGAGTTCCATTTTGTAATCAGAGTGCTTTGCTTAATAGTTGATTAATTATGAGCACTCACCTCCCACGCAGGCGGCCCGGGGTCAATTCCCAACGTCATTGTCATATATGGGTTGAGTTTGTTCAAGGTTGGTGTTTCTCTCCCTTTTAGTTAACTAGTGATGCGCAGACCTTATGAAAAACATTTGACCTTAAACAGCTGTGCCACTGCGAGTTGGACTGCCCTCATGAAAATTACTAGTATAGCCTGTGAACAGGCTCGCAGGCTAGAAAATTACTACAATAGAGAGGAAAAGTGTGACGTCACGTAAAAATGGCATAATAACTGGCGGACGGACACGTTTGGAAGAGCTCCGTGTACCGTTTTTCTTTTAACTTTTTTTTGCTTCATTGCTCCCTGGAATCTTGATTTCCAGTCATCCTTCAGTTAAACCTTTAATTTTCCCGAAGTTATAGTCTGAGAAGGCTTGAAGTTCAAGAATCCACAACAAAATGTTTATCAAGCTGTTCTGTGGCCGATGGCTTGGTAAGACGCCCCCCGGGGGGGGGGGGTACTCCCATACATTACCTATACGGGTATGTGCCGCCCATCGGGGTCGTGATTTTGAAGCTTCTGATTTAGAATGGGGTATCCATTCCAGAGGCGTTTTCTAGAACGGGGTATAAAAAATTGTGGACCACGGCTTTATCTTCTGCTTAAAATTGTTGCTGATTATGAAGAAGCATTTATTTGATGTATAAGTCGAACAAATAAAAACTAGAACGGAGTATAAAAAATTGGCCCATTTCTAGAACGGGGTATCAGTTTTAGGGAAAATTCTAGAACGGGGTATAAAAAATTGGCCCATTTCTAGAACGGGGTATCAATTTTAGGGGAAATTTTTTTTTAGAACGGGGTGCCAATTTGGAGTCCCTGGCGGCACATACCCACCCAAAAAATACCCAAGTCCCCCCCCCCCGGAAAGACGCCACATTGGAATACTCCTTATCAAGCATACAAGATTTACTCACGGGGTAAACTATTGCAAAAACTGTGACGCCAGTTTTAATCTCAGTTTCTCAGCTTATGTGGTGACATAACTCCTAACCCCGGACCACAAGAAAATCACAAGCTAAGAGGCTAAGAGTCAATTAGCGATTACTTGTGATAGTTGTTGCCAACAGGCTCACATAAAGTGCGGTGGAATAACTGCGAAACGCTACGAACAGCTTCTGTCGTGCTCAAATTTCTTAGCTGCAGAAAAATAGGAAAATTTGAAACGTTGAAAGGTTCCAGAGGGCTCGAAACTTATTTATAGGCTTGAGAAATCATTGTTTCAAACATGTCAAACAGCAAAAGGAAAATCAGCTCTTCATCACTGAGAAAAACATTGAGCCTAACCGGAAATTGACCGAAATAGTTATATATTTGAGCAAATGTTGTATTTCTTATATTACTTAATGTTCTATCAAAAATATTTTGAAATACATTTTATATCTGAAGAGAGAGATCTTATAGTATAATTATTTGTGATAGCAATATATCAGTGGTAATGATGACTGTGCAGAAAGCAAGCCATTACTATTTATGTTTTGTTGTATGACGAAATATCAAACAGTTGATTTCAAATAAAAGTATATACTGAAGCACAAATTAAGAATTTCAGTTCTCTTCATCTTTTATTCATTGTTTTATGTTACCTTTTTCCCATTATCCCATACTTTTAATAATTTTAAAGGCTATGCATGTCGCTTCCTCTGCAAGAATTTCTTTTTACGTATCACCGCTGGCAGGATTTTTTTTAGACTAGTTTCCACAGGAATCCAGCCTATGGAATCATATGCAATGATTCATGTGATGATGTAATAGTCCTGTATGCATCATAACGAATCGTAATATGATTTGACAAGTACCCTAAACATCATAATATGATTCCATTGGTATCATAATCATCATTATGATTTCTATAGGACTATNACTCCTAACCCCGGACCACAAGAAAATCACAAGCTAAGAGGCTAAGAGTCAATTAGCGATTACTTGTGATAGTTGTTGCCAACAGGCTCACATAAAGTGCGGTGGAATAACTGCGAAACGCTACGAACAGCTTCTGTCGTGCTCAAATTTCTTAGCTGCAGAAAAATAGGAAAATTTGAAACGTTGAAAGGTTCCAGAGGGCTCGAAACTTATTTATAGGCTTGAGAAATCATTGTTTCAAACATGTCAAACAGCAAAAGGAAAATCAGCTCTTCATCACTGAGAAAAACATTGAGCCTAACCGGAAATTGACCGAAATAGTTATATATTTGAGCAAATGTTGTATTTCTTATATTACTTAATGTTCTATCAAAAATATTTTGAAATACATTTTATATCTGAAGAGAGAGATCTTATAGTATAATTATTTGTGATAGCAATATATCAGTGGTAATGATGACTGTGCAGAAAGCAAGCCATTACTATTTATGTTTTGTTGTATGACGAAATATCAAACAGTTGATTTCAAATAAAAGTATATACTGAAGCACAAATTAAGAATTTCAGTTCTCTTCATCTTTTATTCATTGTTTTATGTTACCTTTTTCCCATTATCCCATACTTTTAATAATTTTAAAGGCTATGCATGTCGCTTCCTCTGCAAGAATTTCTTTTTACGTATCACCGCTGGCAGGATTTTTTTTAGACTAGTTTCCACAGGAATCCAGCCTATGGAATCATATGCAATGATTCATGTGATGATGTAATAGTCCTGTATGCATCATAACGAATCGTAATATGATTTGACAAGTACCCTAAACATCATAATATGATTCCATTGGTATCATAATCATCATTATGATTTCTATAGGACTATTAAAATCATCTCTGGAATCATAACTATGATTTATTGTTCTATTAATCATAGCTATGATTCCAATAGAACTATTAACATCATCTCTGGAATCATAACTATGATCTACAGTGCTGTTAATCATAGCTATGATTCCAATAGAACTATTAACATCATCTCTGAAATCATAACTATGATTTACAGTGCTGTTAATCATAGCTATGATTCCAACAGGTCTATTAAAATCGTCTCTGGAATCATAACCATGATTTATTGTTCTATTAATCATAGCTATGATTCCAATAGAACTATTAAAAGCATCTCTGGAATCATAACCATGATTCATTGTTCTATTAATCATAGCTATGATTCCAATAGGACAATTAAAATAGTCTCTGGAATCACAGCCATGATTTATTGTTCTATTAATCATAGCTATGATTCCAATAGAACTATTAAAATCATCCCTGGAATCATAACCATGATTCAAAGATCTCTTCACAGGTGGTCCTTGTATGCTCAGCACTCACTTGAGGAACATGATCCATTATGCAGTGAACGATCAATAAACATAATTCACAAGAATCACAGTCTTTTTGAACGAAGTTAACCACATTCAGACCAGTGTATTATTCATTCCAAAAGACTGTGGTTCTTCTGAATGATGTCCGTTAATCGTTCACTGCATAATGGATTGTGTTTCTTGAGTGAGTACGTAAGTGCTGAGCCTACAAGTATCACCTGTGAAGAGATTTGTACGTTTAAGGTACCTCTGAATTTTTCAATAAAGGTGAGTAAAAGATAGTAATAACAAGTTTATTGCATACAGGCCATACATCTTTTTTAATCAGCTGAGCAGCTTTGAGTAAAGTGGTTCATTGAAAACTTTAATACTTACAAGAGCCCTGCTCTACTCTATCTAACTATACATTTTATAAGAATTTGCATGAGAACTTGAACTCCCTGGGCTGGGTTGTTCAAAGCCGGGATAAGATAACTCTGGGTTTGGTCAAAATTTGAATTCAGACATGAAAGCTTCAAAAAGTAAATTCAGTTTAATTCTTTTTGTCAACAAGTTGATGATTGGATGCTCTTAAAAATAACAGAGAAAAATACACGAGAAAATGCTTTTGAACAAAAGAAAAAGGAACCCAGGTTAAATTTAACCATGGGTTAAGCGCTAGTTGGCCTTTGAACAACTGGGCCCAGATCATTAGTACCAGAAATTTTATTAACATACCACAGACAAGGTCATGTTAGATAACACTTACAGGCCAACAAATTAATTACTCAGGCCCCACTTTTCAGTATACCAACTAACCTGTATTGATTTAGCAAATACACAACAACACTGGCTTGCATTTCTCACTATTTCGTAGGAACAAATTCCACTAGTCTGTTATTAGTATCCTGATCAAATTCATTTTTAAAATAATGAAATGTAACCACATGGTAAAGTACAGTTCAAATTTTACAGTATTCTTTCCCTTCTACTGAATTTATGCTATGTAAGATTTAAGTACAACCTGTATTCATAAGCACATTCAAGATGGTTTTAAAACATCCCTGTATATAATAGGTCAATCACATTACTTTTGGAGGGCATATAATTTATTTGCGGCCCAAGTGTGCACCTTGTACAGCAACAAATTAGGGGGAAATGGTTAAATATTTCATTAGTATAAAATAAAATAGAGAATATAAAATGGCCGAGCGGGAATATGAATTTTATCTTCGACTGCTGAAAGTATCTCTCACAAGTGAGCGATTAGCAAACGAGTGAGAGATACTTTTAGCACGAGAAGATAAAATTTGTATCCCCGCAGGGCCATGTAATGTTCTGTTTATTTTATAGATACTGATGAAATTCCTACATAAAACACAACTTTTTTTAAATTCATTTTTGAAACAGCAAAATAGTACAATTAAAGTGGTCACCTATTGAAAAATGCCTGTCACAAAAATGTTATGAAACTCGGATATAAAGTTATAAAGGAGAAATAAAGACAATAATACTTATAATATTATTTTCTGTTCCAAAAATCATGTTAGTAACCATGGCAACGCCAATATCGTCACACGTGAAAGAAAAAAATAGTATCTTCACTGCGTGCGATGAAGATATGATTTTTTAGTAAAAGGAAAAATCCTGGTATTTCATCAGTATCTATATAATAAATGATGGAATATTACATGGCCACTTGGAGATATGAAATTTTGTATCTCCAAGAGGTCATGTAATATCCTCTATCAAGAAAAGCTACAGTCATATACAAAATTATTACAATGAGTTTTTAATAGCACCATTATGTGTTTTTCATGTAAATTCATGGATGCCCAATCCCATCTTGCACCCCACAATCAATATGTTGGATGCATGTATCCATAATTTTCCCGAGTTGCAATATGTAAAGTGTGGGTGGTGGGAGTGGGGGNGGGGGGGGGGGGGGGGGGGGGGGGGGGGGGGGGAAGAGTGTGGAGTGAGAGAAGTGCACGTGAGGCATTTTTCAAAAGGGTAGCCCTTTACTAATGAGGGCACCCAGAAATAAATTTTAAAAAAACACATATTGCATCACTGTTGCAAAGACTTTAAAATTATCAAGGATCATAGTTTAATATAGACTGAAGAGGTCAGTGATACTACATGTAAGGAGAGACAGGAGGGATTTGTGACCTATTAACCCTTAAAGCCCCAATATCCACATACCAATTCTCCAAACTGATCTCCATACATTTCTTTAAAGAATTAGTTGAGATAATTTGATAAAAGATCAAAGATTTTTCTCTTTGAGATCATTTTATTAATTCTTGTAGACTTTGCTCTTGACAAACTGTGGGTATTGTTAGGAGAAAATTGATTTTGGTCACTATTGGGGCTTAAAGGGTTCTTAAAGCACTTGAAAATATTTGACAGGCGTGTGTGTATCTACAAGCAGCTGTATAATAAACACCAAATTACCATATTTTTGCTGCAAATGTCTTATTGAACAACCTTGCAACCGTGATTCATCCTGAGTGAAGATACAACCTGCAAGTATTTTTTTAGCGTTTTCATAACAGTATATGTATATTGTTTTTAAGTAATGATCCAGGTAAGATGGGAGGCAATAATTTCTTTTGTTTTATAACGCAATATGCTTTCCTCACTTAGGAATGTTTTCGTTTCCACACAGAGAATGCATAAACCTACATAAAGGCAGTTTGTAAAATAAAACAATTATTTAAACTGCATTTTTTTAGGGTGTTTTTTTGGTAAAAGATATCAACCAATCATAAGATTTGCAAACAACAGCAAAGAAAAATTGAAAATAATTAATTTTACATGTTCCTCAAATAGGGTTTCTAAGGTAAGAAAACAGGGAATCAAATATACATGCTGCTTTGCAAAGATTTCAAAAATGTGAGGGTGAAACCAATCAGAAGTGAGGTAGAGATAACAGTAGAATTGGCACCTTTTTGCATTCTGACATATTTATTTCCCTTTGGTTCTTTCCTTTAGGTTCCTTCTTTCCTTTGGACCATTACTTGTAACCTCAATGTTTACCATATCACATCTTAATTCAAGATAATGTCATTTCTTGTTTTAAACTTTGTAAATTTTTTGTTGTTCACTAATTAAGGAATAACTGAACAATCGAAAAGTAAAGTCCTTTTAGCTTGTGGTATGCTTTAATGCCTCTGTGTGAATAAGCAGGTGATGTCATAGCTATTTACCCATCATAACCTTAAATTTAGAAATCTTGTGTCCAAAAATTATGCAATGAACAAACTTTTAACACAAGTGTGCATTGAGCTCTAACCTTAAATTTATAAATCTTGTATCCAAAAATTACGCTTGTGACAATTATTCATGAACAAAATTTTATTGCAAGCGTTCTCTCTGAAGTTCTGTCAAATGGCTATTTGATTTCCATATTCTAATGTAGGGAAACATACCAGTAACAACCTCAAGGTAGTAAAGGCCTTTACTATCACTTAACTTCACTTTCATAACTGTATAATTTAACAAATTTTCTATGCCATTGCATCATGTACTGTTTTTTCTTACAGGTTTATAACCAATGCAGTGTATTCATCCCATTTTCCCCTGAATTGTGCAACTTTCCATGTAGATCCATGCCCTTGTAAACACTTCCTTCCATCCTAGCTTCCTCATAAACTCTTCCCACCCAAAAAAGATAACAATACAAACCAAAAAAGAGGGAGGGGGGAAGCAAAATTTGTGACTGCTGTGTCACTTCCTAATCTATCTTGTGCACTTGTATCAGAAGACCACAAAATGCACAGCCTTTCAACAGCTTTTTGTTAGGACTAAAAAATGAATTGACTACATGTGGCTTCAAAAACGTTTTCCGGCAAAATTCCTGGGGGAAATGGAACAAAAACCCTGAGGGGTACTCCCTATGATGGCCTATACAGGGAGGCTCTGACCGAAAGGGGTATCTTTTCAAGGCTTCTGTGAGGTATATGAATTAAAGGGTAGGGATTTCACTAGTTCATCATCCTTCTTGCATACTTATTAGCATTTAGTTATGGGAAGTCACCCCAGATGAGCAAGCTCGATGGGGAAGACACATAGAGGCTAATAAAGTAAACAGAAGGGGCGGGTGGATGGGGGCTACTCCAACTAGTTAGTCAAACTAACAACTGTGAATAATTAACACATGCTTAGAGACTATGCGCAAAGTCTAATGAATATTAATAAGGTAAAATAGTTGACGTATCAAAAAGTGTAGGGAAATCTGTCATTTGGGTCTGTGAAAGGGCCCAAAAGGGCTAACAGATGAATTTTACGGCTTTATGAAATTGAGAAAACATTCTATTTCTGTAACAGACTCCTGTTAAAAAGAAAGCGCATTTACAGCTGTTAAAAGGGATGCAAAGTTCCAAACTAGGTGTGTGAAAGGAGTACCATTTGTCAATAGAAGGTATACAAAAGGGGTACCTTTTTCGTGAAAAATGGTATATAAAAGGGTAAGGGGTTGAGCATCAGGGCGAAGCCTCCCTATATAAACATTTGTTGAGTACCCCCCAGGGGATAAAAATCAAAAACTTACCAAAAAACAAGAACAATGAGCTAAGCTAAGGGGCTACCTGTTACACCAATGGGGACTCTGGGATAATAAAAGGTTCATCAAACGGCCGTCTTAGAGGGGCTGGTCTTGCTTGTGCCCGTCCATCAGCCAACTCTAGGACCTCCTGGACCTGGAGGTGGCTGATGCCAGGCCTTTCCAATGCCTCAAGCAAGGCCCGCCCCTTTGCCCTCTTCTCACTTGCAATTCTCCTGGCCTTCTTTAAAAATAGGCATCTTCGACATTGTAAATCCCTCTCATTGTCCTCATCATCGGATTCTGCCGGTGGAATGACATCTTTTGTAGGAACAGGAGGGATTTCTAACCTTTTTTGGGTAATATCCCTCTTGTTCCTACTGTCCACTGTGCCACACCTGATTAGTTTTGTAATTTGCTCATCTCTCTTTTCCTATGAAAGATTGCAAGAAAAAGGCATCAC